TTGGATATCATGAGCAGAAAGTACTACGTCTTCGGTGCCTTAGTAAGACATATACTAAGAACTAGACATACAGTAAGAACTAGAGGGTGAAAGATGAATCCTACAAAAATTCAAGGCCCTTAGCCTCAATGAAGTTTCTAGGGATTCAATGGTTTGGAGCATGTTAAAATATTCCCCTTCAAGATGAAAAACATCTTGCTTCATCTCACACTAGGTACCATGAAAAAAGCATGGTGTTCAATGGGCCTTTTTGGATTTTGAAGGCAACATATACCATATTTGAGTGTGCTACTTAACCCACCTGGAGAGTCATCCATATATCAATTTTGAGTGGGGACCAGAGCAAGAGAAAGCTCCATTGTGATTTTGAATTTCAATACAAGCTGCTTTGCCATATAATTCCTATGATCCAGCAGAGCCCAAAATACTAAAAAATGTCCTGGCATAAAGGAACACTATATGGAGCCTCTGCCAAGCACCAGTAGAATCACAGGTAGACCCAAGATTTTAAACAAATCCATTCCCTCTTCTGAAGATAACTATCCTCCTTTTGTGCCTTGGTAGACTGAATGCCTAACCATGGGATAATAGATGATCACATAGTCTGAGCTTCCCATCCATGATGTGGGTGTTGCAGGACTCACCTAGTCAACAAACTTGGGCATACATAGTAACAATCTAGCATCAGTGGAAATGGTATACAATCAACTCAGTTTGCTGGGCAGGCCTGAAATGTTCATGTAGCTTCCATTGAACATATGGCTCAAATTCTTTCAATACCAACTTCTGTTGCCTCCTCTCCCTGGACTGGTGTGTTTCTAACAATTAGCTGGCCAAGGAAAAGTCAAGCTTGGCTTATAGATAGGTCTGCATATGTTGGTTCAAAGCATGATTATCCTTCTCATCCCAGCAACCTCAAGTTGTGCTGGCTTGGAGTTCTTATTTCCTAAGGGATTCTTCAACCAGGAGCACAACATGGGTCTACTGATATAAGATCTAAGTCGAGGCTGCCACTTGGCCATCTTGGATTCTTATGCCACTAAACTGAAAGGTGGCAAAAGGTGTTCCTCTACTGGCTGGAATGATCAATCCAGACTACCAAGAGTGAGACTTTATTACTGAGACACAAGAGGCAAGGACTGTATCTGGAACATGGGATTCTCTGGGTGCCCAAGTTCTTCCATACCCAATAGTAAAGGTTGATGAGAAACATCAACCAAAACAGGACAATGGGATAACTTAGACCTTTAGGCAGTATGTGAGTCACTCCACCAGGTAAAGAACCCTGACCAGCTGAGGTTCTGATCAAGTGCAAAATAAATATTCAGTGAAAGGTCATAAATTTACAGAAATGAGAGCTTTTAATCCACTAGTTTTTGTCTATTCCACCTTTTATTATAGTAAAATAGAGCTGGACATATAATTCTATGCTAGTTGGCGTGTTTTGTCAGCAGAGGGTATTGGAGGGATTTATTTTCCTGGTTCTGGGCAAATTCTCATAGTGCCCTGATCTAGCAGTGCACAAAGTTTAGCAGTGGAGTCTGTCACTGGTGTGGCACCTCCTATGCTCAGTTTACCATGTACCTCCATGGATGACTTCAGATTGTACTGGTGTAAATTCCCAATGAATAACCTCCCCTGGTACCATCCCAGATGAATTTGCAGCTACCACAAACTTTATCCAGACAACCTAGGTTGTATTCTCTCCAATGATTTCTGGAATTCAGCTTGAGGAAGAACAGACAGTGGCCACTTCTTGCATTTGTGACATCTGTACTCTCCAGAGTTCTCTTTACTGCTTTGCAAATTTTTAATTCTTAAATTAAAGACACTATGCCCCATCACTCCAACCCACTTATAGTTAACACTTTTCTATGTCAAACTTTTTCTGTTCTTATTTATGTGGCTTCTGTCTCCTGACTGTACTGTCTTGCTGATATAGATATCATAATCAAAGACAAAGACTTAAAGAAAATCCACTGACCATGGATTAACATTCAGGATATTTTAAGATTAAAAAACAAACACCCTACAAATTTTTCAGAAAAGAAACAATAGAAAAAGCCAATTGAGAGGAATTACAAATTAATCAAAGTACCAAGTAAAACATTTTATTCACCAGAAATTTAAACTTTGTCAGTTATCAGGTGGTTAAGGATACAGAAAATACTGACAACCTGCTGGTGGGAATTGGAAGGCAATCTCGGGTCTATTAAAATCTTCCCATTGTAGCCCGGCCGGTGTGGCTCAGTGGTTGAGTGTCCACCCATGTACCAAGAGGTCACCGGTTTGATTCCCAGTCAGGACACATGCCCAGGTTGTGGGCCCGATCCCCAGTGGAGGGCATGCAGGAGGCGACCAATCGATGTTCTCTTTCATCAATGTTTCTATCTCTCTCTCTCTAAAATCAATAAAGAAAAAAATTTTTTTAAATCTTCCCATTGGAAACCCTATGACAGAGCTTTCCAATTCTGTTTACTCTAGAGAAATATTCACACATAAACAAGGTGGCACATACAAAGATATTCTTTGCAAAATTAATAGTAAAAACTAAAAATTCCAAACAACCTAATCATCCTTCAATAGGTAGATACTTATGACATTCATACTACATATAGCAACATGGAATTAAAGAATTCTGTATAGAGACATAAACTAACTTGGAAAGATCTCCAAGTAGTTAAGTGAAAAAAAAAGCTGTGGAATACTAAAATCAAAATCCACATAATATTATTTTCTAAGGGTACAAATTACGTGTATATAAATTGTCAGGGGTTTGGGGGGCGGGGGGCAGGTGGGTTTAACACCAAACCAGTTCTAGTAATTACCTCTGGAAAGTGGAGGGCAAGCAAAGGGAAGAAACTGGGGATGGTCAGAGCAGACTTACATTTTAACTTCAATAGATTAAGGGGAAAAGAATATATATTTATGCATTACCTGAACAATTAAAGACTAAGACTATAAAATCCACATCTTGAACTTTTTCCTCTGGCCAAGAATAAATTAAGAGACTAAATTTACTCTGAAACTAAAAAACTGAACAAAATCCATGAAATAGTTTTCAATACACTGGTCTTTAGGCAAAGAACAGTGAGCCCTGAAAGAGAAGTACTGTATTGACCCCACTTACTGCCTTGAATTTCTAAGCCATGACGCAGGGAGAGGGCACCCAGGCAGAGCCTACTGGACTTCTTGAGTTCAGAATATGGAGCTGAAATCAAGGGAGATGAAGCAGCTGGAGTTCCCAGGGCAGAGGATCACGGAGAAAAGGGCGGCAGAAAGAGAAATTCCAGAGATCTGTAGAGGGTGCCCCTCCAGTATTCAGCAATGTACTTGGTCAGCACATGCAAGTGAGGAAAACTTCAATTCTGGGGAAAGGGTTAGAGGAAACAGTTCCTGGAGCCCACACAAAGCTAGAAATAGAAACTAGAAAGCTTCCTAATCCAGGGGGCACTGGATACTCAGAAGGGTCTTGCCTAAGAACTGGGGAACAATTAAGCCCTAGAACAAATGCTATGCTGCTCTCACAAACCAAAGTTTTAAAAAAAGACCTGAAAGGATCCAACTGTTTTCAAGTAACTTATGTCCCAGAATAAAAGTAACCAGCACTCAACAAGTTAAAATTAACATCTGGCAAGTAGAAAAAATTACCAAGCATGCAAAGAAATAGAAAAATATGACCTATGAGAAAAAACAAACAAACAAACAAAAATCAACAGACTCAGATGTTATAATTAGCCCATAGGCTAATTTTAAAAATTGCTAAAGAAAAGATTGAATATGTAAAGACATGAAAATATAAAATCACCCAAATTTTTAGGAATAAAAACATCTGAAATGAAAAACACACTGGATGACTTCAACAGATTAGACACAGCATTAGTGAACTCAAAGGCAGTAATCTGACATGAAACTAAAAAAAGATTTTTTAAAAACCTAGACAGTGCATGGGTGAGCTATGGGGTCAACTTCTAGCAGCCTCTGTTTAGAGTTCACAACAGAGAGAATAGAAAAAATATTTGAAAAATAAAGGGTGAAAGATTTCCAAATTTTATGAAAACCATAGATTCAAGGAACCCAATGAACCCCCGACAAAAGAAAGAAAAAAATAGCACATCATAATCAAATTTTTCAAAACCAGTAATACTGAAAAATCTTTTTTTGAAATTTGTTTTTATTTATTTTTTAGAGAGAGAAAGGGAGAGAGAGAGAGAAACGTTGATGTGAGAAACATTGATTGGCTGCCTCCAGCACGGCCCACACTGGGGATCGAGCCCACAACCCAAGAATGTGCCCTGACCGGGAATTGAACCAGGACCTCTCAGTCCATGGGACGATGTTCAATCCACTGAGCCACACTGGCTAGGTGACAGAGAAAAATCTTAAAAGGCAACAGAGGAAAGACATGTACACAGAACAAAAGATGAAGATGAAATATTTCTCAGAGAACACAATGTGAGAAGACAGTGGACATCATTAAAGTGCTGGAAGCAAAAAATGTCCACCTAGAATTCTGCATCCAATGAAAATCTTTCAAAAACAAGGCAGACACAAAAACTGAAAGAATTCATCAATACCTATACAATCATAACTAGAAATATTAAAGGTTAAAGAACAGTTTTCAGAAGGTAAATTCCAGTAGCAAAGAAATGGAGAGCACAAGAAATAGTAATTACATGGGCATCAAGCATACAGGACTTTTTATCATCATCTAAAAAAAACAAAACAAAACTATTTTGAACCCCATTCTTATCTCATTTTATTTATTTATTTTTTTTATCCTCACCCGAGGACATTTTTCCATTTTTTGTTCAGATAGAGTGGGAGGGAGAGGAACAGAGAGAGAGAAACATCAATGTGAAAGGAACACATCGAGTGGCTGCCACCCGCACAACCAACCAGGGCCGGGGACAAACTGCAACCGAGGTACATGCCCTTAGTGGGAACCGAACCCGGGTCTCTCAGGACTGCAGGCCGACGTTCTAACCGCTGAGCCAAACCGGCCAGGGCCCCATTCTTATCTCAAAATAATAATTTGTCTCTAGCAATATTTCAGGGAAACATAAAGCCTGGCAGAGTTTTATATATTTAGCAAACATAACCATATATAAGGCTAATATGAAACCAAAAATTCCTACTTTCTACAGCAAAATATCATGTCCACTCTTCTGGGTTTCAAGGCATATGGGGAGTAGTCTCTCTTCTTAGTCTAAATTCTGGGATTTAATACAGAATATAATCTTGGCCAAAACATGGACCAAAAATACCAAATTTCACATACTAGCCATGTGGCTTGGCACTAGATATTTATACAAAGTGAAACAGAAGTCCAATTTTACTTCACATGCAATCTGAGCTATAAATGCAGTTACAAACCAGCTTTCAGATTTATAATGACAAATGGTCGTCTCATACATTTGTTAACCGGTAGAGCTGAAGTGGATTTCCATTGACTTGTGGAAGATAAACTGCACATCACTCCCATAGGCATACAAAGTCAACCCTCCAACTATCATTTCTAAGGCTCTGTTCGCCACTAATGATACATAGTTTAGTTTCTACCTGCCGATCTTGGGGAGCAATAAAAGACAGCCCATCCCTCAAACAAAGTAAAAAAGGTAAATTCACTAGCATTAACTATCATAATCAAAAAGCAAATACACACTTCAGTTAATAAAAAAGAACAGATTATTTCAATAAACATGTAGATTTATTTTAAATCAGTTTGGTACATGATACAGATTGGTTTTGCAGTTTTTAATGAACTAAAATAGAAATTTCTAAATACAGCAGTGTCTGCCTGTACAAATATCTTAAGATAAAATAAGGTATTTTGAAAGAACTACATCTGCATGAAATAATCAGATGAAAAATCTGAAAAGGTTTCTATATTCCTTCTGGATTAAAAAAAAAAACCCAAAAATTATTAATGGCTCAAGATACTAAATTCCTAAAGGAAGGAGGGGAAAAGGCTGTGAGTTCTATTGTAAGAGCTCTTCTTGCAACATCTAGTTTCATATTATATGATTTTGTTGTTAGCGCAGTACTCAAAATGACAGAAGAGAGGCTTCTTCAGCTACATTTTCACAAAAATTACTCTGTTGACATCAATGTGTGACAAGGTATTCATAATCTAGGTAAATAACAATTATACCACTGTAGCCAATTTTTGCCACTTTGGGAGAAATGGATATTCTGCATTCTTTCAAATAAATCTTGTACCTTATAGCACTGACTAAAAACCAACAGCCATGGCACCATAATAAAATTTTTTGTGAGGTACCTAGAATATTACTACTAATGAAAACACAAAAGTGTGAGGTAAAGCTACCTTTTCCCAAAAACCTCTTAAGCCAGTTATTTTAAACAATTAAGGCACTTGAAAACATTAGGTGTATGTACAAATGTGCAAGTAAAACAAACTTTAGCTGTACCAGCAAGTAACTAAGAAACAAGTAAATCTTCGTTGTAAGAATCTTTAATATAACTATCTAAATATAAGGAATTTTGGCTTATGAAATGGACCTAAGCAACTTGTCATTTCCTATTATAAAACATTGAAACCAATGACTAAACTCGGCCACTACAGGCTAAAAAAACTAAAACAAAGCAAAAAAATTTTCACGACCTAGAAAAGCAAAAGCTCATTTTAAACTAAATCAAGCCTTCTGAACTAATCCAATGCATCAAAGGAGGGAGAAGTATCCCTCTAAAACATAAAGAAACCTAGTGCTTCCTAAGAAAACTAAAGAAATAAAAATATGCATGCTTACTATAATATGGGAATTGAAATTAAGAAGAAGAAAATATCTGAAAGAAGGAGAAAGAAAGAAAAAAAGAAAGCACAATCTATTTATCCAGGGTAATCATTATTAAAAATCTACAGTAATCTTATCAATCAAAAATCCTTAGATTTCCTGAAATTACACTGGTCACATTTGTTGTCTCAAAACTTAAAAAGACAAACAAACAAACAAAAAAACCTTAAGATAATTGTCTCATTTAAAGAATTAGTAAATGATTCTAAAACAACTGATTATTTCCTTCTTGTCTCATGAAAGAAGTTACTTTTCAAGATAGCTTGGTGAAAATCCGTTCGAGATAACAACAGTATTAGTATACCTTTTTGAAATACAAAGAGAAATATTTTAGTCTCTATTATATTTTTAACAGCCATAAGAAATATGTTGGGAGGTTCAATATATGAAGACTTTCAACTTTGTATAACATCCTTTAGCTTAATTTACTCAGGTCTGAAGTAGGTAAGTTTTCAGTTAAATACTAACGGTATGGTAGGTATCTAAAAGCAGGTTTACTACTGCTGACATTAAGTTACATCCTCAGATCAACCGTAATTTTACCTTTCTTAATTAGGAACAACACATCACAACATTTTAAGTTACAGTCTACCTTTCAATCTGTCTTTTAAGGCACTGTTCTTTATTTTCTCAACGATATAAGGTGCTTTACAAGTATTAACAATAACCTGCTATGCTTTAATGGTTTGTATCCTTTCCATTCATTTCTTTAAATCTGGAATGTAATTCCCTGTGTGGCATCTTATTTATAATGTAGAAAAAATAACTGTTATCAAGCACAAAATTTTACTTTAAGAATACAGTTTACTACATGGGTATTAAACTTATAAATTTATTCCATTTTTAAAATAATAGCCAAAAATCCACCTGACTGATGCTCATTTGGCACATTCTTCTCAATTCTGGTCATTAAACTACATCCTGAGTTAGGATGAAAACAATGCAGCTTTCAGGCTTTAAAATGACTAAATTTAACTGCCAAGAGAGTCATGAGGTTGTCTGCAGGACAATGTTTTCCATCCCTTACAGAGTTACATTTGGCATGTCAAGAAAAGAGAACATAATCCAACAGGAGCAGCCATTTAAAATAAAAGAAGACAGCCACAAGGATTCATGCAGAATAGTTTAAGTATTCTTGTTGAGCAAAATGATTTAACTGATTTTTCTTCAAGCACGATACTCCAAAATATCCTATGTGCATTCTTTGAAAATTTAAAGATCCTGGAATAGTGTCTTCCATGTAGGAAATCTTGAAAGATAATAATTTGGTTTCATTGAATTATGCGCCAGTCCTTGTTAATCTAATGGGTCCGTTTACAGAGTGTGGTAGTTTCGTTCTTTCGATTTACAGAATTTATAGAGAAAGAAAATTACAGCCTGCACACCCAAGACAAGGACAATTCCTCCAATGAAACTGGCTGCATCAAAGGTAGACTTCCGCATAGGTTGTGAGGTTGGAGTTAAAGTGGTATTAGTTGAACCTGTTAAATAAGACAGAAGAAATAACGGTAAGTCTCGTGAGCCTCTATCATAATTTCAAGACCCACCTGAGTTTCTATTTTGCCATGTGTTTAAGTTCTATAAAGTATTTCCGTTCGAGTCAAGTCTTTACAACTAGAATTTATACTTAACTGAGGAAGACAATTATTTATCAATCCCATTCTTCATTCTGTCTGGTGATATCAAGTGGTTAATGCTGCTATACAACTTCAAATATGAAAATGTCATAAAAAGACTCTCCTGGTATATAAATTATGCCCTGGGAATATGTGAAGCACTTTAAAAATTTCCAATTTTCTTCAGACTATACCTAATTGTTAGAGTAAATATTAATATTTGTGTTAAAAATTCACACAAGTTTTAAATTTTACTAAATATATAAGGTAAATTTAAAATTTGGTTGCAATTTTTCAAATTACAAAAATAATCTTAAATATCTGCAGTTTATAATTCCATAAGCAAAAGAACTTGTTATTAAAAGTATCTTAAATCTTACTCTGCAGATTTTACATTATCAGATAGTTATTACCAAGTTATGAGGGGAAAAAAGGGCACAAAAATTAGAATTCCTTCTCAGGGAGTAAAATGTTTCAAGTGGAAAACCACTCACTTTAACACAAAGCAACTTCATATTTAAAATAAATTTTACTTTTTCTTAGAGAATCAAATAAACACTGGTTCTGGTGGCTGTATATAACAAGTTGGCCAGCTTTAAAATTAATCACAGCTGTTCTATATTTCTTCATGAAAACAGAATGGCTTCACTGAAATTGAAATAAAGGTAGCATAATAACAAAGCCAAAAGAATTTAAAAAATTATAAAGGAGTCATCATAAAGAAAAGGCCCTGGCCAGTTTGGCTCAGTGGTTAGAGTCGGCCTACGGACCAGAGTCCGGGTTCAGTTTCCGCCAAGGGCACATACCTTGGTTGCAGTTTGTCCCCGGCCCTGGTTGGGGTCATGTGGGTGACAACCACTTGATGTGTCTCTCTCACATCGATATTTCTCTCTCTTCCTCCCTCTCTCCCTCTGGCTCTATCTGAAGATAAACACAAAAATGTCCTCAGGTGAGGATAAATAAACAAACAAAAAAACCAGTATTATAGGAGAGGGTTCTTAGCCTGTGTATCTACTGTGTCTTGTGGCATAACCTAAATATAACTTAGTTATAAGATGTCAAATCATTAATAAATTAATTTTCACATGTACTTTCAGGAATTATTATATGAGAAACAGTAAGAAGTATGGCCAAGGTGCACATTTAATAGTGATAATGGCTTTTTAGAGATTTCTCAGTAAAAAGGATGGCTTTATTATCTTCACTCAAATCACTATGGTCTAATATAGCACAAAACCAATTCCTAACAGTAATCAGTATTTAATTTTTAAATTATAAGAAATTAGATTTCATCTACAAGTTGTACTAAAAGGGTTCTGGAAAAACATCATTTAATTCTAACATGTCATGCCAAATGTGATTACACAGTGAAAGACTAGAAAAGGACTACCAGCAAACCTATCACTACTGCTCTAACAGCCTACTGTGTTGTCCCCTAAATACAAGAGAGAAGTTAGTTCATAATCATTCATGAGTAAAACTGGAAAATGATGACAGAAACAGTAAAAGGCAACAGTGCACATACATCCTGCTTCATTGTTAATTTTAAAAAAACCTCAATTACCTGGAGTAGTAGTTGTAGAAAAGGAAGGCATAGTTGTGGTCTTAGCTGGAATGTAAACAAAATATATTAGAAACTTAAATTTCTAAACTTCCCAGTTCTCTAGTATTCACCTTTGTAAAATAATACCAACTTCAACATGCTTTCAGTTTTTTGGATCAAAGGCCATTATTTCAGTAAATGGTTCACTAACATCTACACATCCAGAATACTAGCTTCTAAATACAGTGATACCTCGGTTCTCGAACAATTTGGTTCTCGACCGTCCTCCTGGAACGAATTATGTTCGAGAACCGAGGTATCACTATATATTTTAAAACACTAAGCAGTCATAAAACTGTATCCATGTTAACATCTATATGTAAAATCTATGTATACAACTGGATCAAATTTGCAAAAAGACACACCGAAGGGCAAGAATTAGTGTTTAGGTGAGGGAACTATAGGTTCTTCATAAAATAATATTTCTTCTAAGAAAAACCATTAACTTAAAAAGTCAAGGTAAGAAATAAATGCAACTCAGTATTTCTTACGTGGGTATTAAGATTTGGTTATCTTCTTCATTTCAGGGGGTTGGCAAACTATTCTTAAAGGGGCAAAAAGTAAATATTTTAGGCTTTGTGCACTGTATAGGTGCAAAAGAAGCCAAAGACAACATGCAAGTGAATGGGCAAGGTTGTGCTTCAATAAAACTTTGAGGCCATAGCTCCCCTATTTTAGCGTTAGAAGAGCCAGGAAAAGCTCTAGTCTACCAAATTACATGAGCTCAAATAATTATCTGATGATGCCTCTAAAGAAATGTACAATCACTGGAAGAATTAGATTGAATGTAACATTTTAGGAACTAAAGCACTATATTAACAGACTTCTGTATGTATAGATACTACTGATGGATAGTAATAAATGTTAACACTAAAAGAAAAAAAAATGTTAACACTGATGGTTATTTTCACACGTGTGTATCCTTTTTCTCTCACCACTGTACACATTTTATCCACCCTGCTCTTGGTTAAACAGCTGGGTCACTTCTCATTTCTCCATGCTATGAACATCTTACAAGGAAATATTTGATCTCATCTCTGATAGGACTGATTCCTACACAGAATTCTCAGATTAGAAGGTATATTTTATTTAAAAAAAATTTTTTTTTCTTTATTGATTTAAAAACATTTGTTTTCCTGTATTGACTTTAGAGAGAGAGGCAGGGAGAGGGAGAGAGATAGAAACATTGATGAAAGAGAACATCAATTCCTCCTGCATGCTCCCCACCAGGGATCAGGCCCACCACCTGGGCATGTGCCCTGACTGGGAATCGAACTGGCAACCTTTCGGTGCATGAGCCGCCGCTCAACCACTGAGCCACACCAGCTGGGCGAGGGTCTCTCTCTCTCTCTAATCCTCATCTGAGGACAGTTTTCCATTTTTTGTTCAGATAGAGTAGGAGGGAGAGAGAGAGGAAGAGAGACAGAGAGAGAAACATCGACATAAAAGGGACACAATGAGTGGCTGCCACCTGCACAACCCAAGCAGGGCTGGGGACAAACTGCAACCGAGGTATGCGTGCCCTTAGTGGGAACCGAACCTGGGTCTCTCTGGACTGCAGGCCGACGCTCTAACCACTGTGCCAAACTGGCCAGGGCTTATTATTTTAATATTTATAATCCCTTCAAAGTTGTTGCTTACACATTCTGTGTAACTGCAAAAAATATACTTTTCAAATTAAACATATCAAATTTTTTCAATCTTAAAACACTGATGAAGTTGTCTGAACATTTACACACTTTTACTTTTGACCAAAGTATTACATTAACTACATTTTCCAAAATGAGGCACTAATTAACAAATATACTTCCACTGACCTACTGTATGTTCCTTTCATTTAAAAAAAAAAAATTCATGCCCTGGTTGGTTTTGCTCAATGGTTAGAGCACCAGCCCAAGGACTGAAGAGCCACGGGTTCGATTCCCAGTCAAGGGCACATACCTGGATTGCGGGTTCAGGCAACCAGTCAATGCCTCTCTCTCTCACATCAATGTTTCTCTCCCTCCCTCCCTTCCATTCTATCTAAAAATCAGTGGGAAAATATCATCGGGCGAGGGTTAACAACAAAAAGAATAAACTTTATAGAAAAAAATAATTCATAGGTTGTAAAAACTGCTATTGGTGATAGAAAATTTAGAAAATGACAGTAAAGAAATTCAAGTAATCCCATCACTCGAGTAGCATGTTTTTTGCCTGCCAGCAATTTTTCTAGGTTTATATATATATGTAAATAAGTAAACTGTACAACAACTACTTAGTACAGTTTTTCATTTATTATGAACATTTGCCATTATATTTCTGACATAATCTAGTCATTTTATTATGTTATTTATAAACATGTATTTATGTTTATAATATACTATTTGTATTGGCAGAAGACTTGTAAGTAACCCCACTGAACACCTTTCTACATAAATCAGATTCCTTTTGCATTATTTAATAGTCCCTTAATTTCCCACTTGTTCTCTTCAGCAGCAGCCACAGAAAGAGACAGTATGTTTTTCTTTTTTTTTTTTTTATTTTTTTTTGTTATCCTCACCCGAGGATATTTTTCCACTTTTTGTACAGATAGAGTGGGAGGGAGAGAGAGGAAGGGAGAGAGAGAGAGAAACATCGACGTGAAGGGACACATCGAGTGGCTGCCACCCGCACGACCAACCAGGGCCGGGGACAAACTGCAACCGAAGTACGTGCCCTTAGCGGGAACCGAACCCGGGTCTCTCCAGACCGCAGGCCGACGCTCTAACCGCTGAGCCAAACTGGCCAGGGCGAGACAGTATGTTTTTCAACCATTGCCTGGCTGGTGTGGCTCAGTGGTTGAGTGTTGACCCATGCACCAAGAGGTTGCTGGTTCAATTCTCAGTCAGGGCACATGCCCAGGTTGTGGGCCCGATCCCCAGTGGGGGGGTGTGGGGGCATGCAGGAGGCGGCCAATCAATGTTTCTATCTCTCTCTCCCTTTCCCTTCCTCTTTCTCTAAATTCAATAAAGAAAAAAATTTTTTAATTTTTTAAAGTTTTTCAACCATTAATTGCCACTCAATTGATATTTTTTGCAAGCATATACATAAAGATTTCGTGGGGAAGAAATTAAAAGTAGACCCACAATGATTTTGAGGAAACCATTTCCTCCACTCTCCCTTTCTGTTCACATCCCACCTCTGGAAATGTTTCTCTCAACATCTCTGCTTTCATCAACCTTTAATACCTTCCTAGTCAATGACTTCTTAATGGGTGCTAAAGATCTAAAAGTACATCACTGTGTGCTCTCCAAAATAAAGTTTCGTAGCATTTGCAGCTTTCCACGGTGTATTTCCACTGTAGCTGTAATTCAAGCTACCAACATGGTATCATGGAATGTGCAGTTGGAAAGAGCTGTGCACAACTGGCCAGCAAAACCCGGTGAAAGCTAGCTCACCACTGCCTAAGTCTTTAAAACGAGTTCCTGTCCTGTCACAGCATTTGATCGTTTCTTCTGAAAAACTGTACCGAAATGACACATGCAAAGTTTCTTAGACACACCTTTTGGACCTTCTTCTCCTCCCACTCCTACTAAGTTTCCTTTCCAATCCTCTTTTCATCTCTTACACATATTGTTCCCAAGAGTTTGGTCCTCAAACCCTAGTCTCCTCCCTAAAAACTGCTTCAGTGGACTTCACTATTGCCGACACTGATGAACTTACCTGTACTTTCAGCTAAGAGCTCTCCCATCACCTCAAGTCCTATGCCTTCTACTTCCTAAGCCTATTTGCACACATCTGCAACTCTTCTATTAGTTCTCTAGAATTACTGCAACAGGTTATCTAATCTCCCCCTGCTGACTCGTCTCCTTCTAGCCTGCTTTCCACATTGTCAACATTGTCAGAATAAACCATTTTATTAAATCACAAGTCTCATCACATGACCTATATTGCTTCACATCTACCAGCAAGGCATACAAAGGCACTTCCCAATGTGGCTCTTGACTTGACTGTCCAGCTTCACTCTTCCTCACCTTGTACTGGACCCTCCAAATGCAATTCCCTAACCTCATATTCTTTCACATCTCCTTCACATGTGCCAACCACCCTGCTCCACTTGGGAAACTTGCCTCATATCTTACCAGGATAATTTCAAGACCCAGCCAGTCAGCATCTTCAGGAACCTGTCACCATATGCCATGCTACTCAATATAACACCTTCCCCTACAAATTCCCTAATACACTGTGCTCACTTATCTCTTTCACAATTCCTACAATAGACCAAATTCTGTCTTCTGTCCCTGTATCCCTATCATCTAGCCTACTACTTGTACTGGCGTAGTATTTTTATATTACTTACTCTTCCTATCAAATTGTTGAAGATTTCTAAAAGGAGATGTTATCTAATGCTATTAAGGGTAGTAAAAAACTTTCAAGTTGATGAGAATGAAAAGCCTATCATTCTGGAAAGAATCAGTACTGAGTGCCCCAAAATCATCATTTAGGAATGCTGTTTAAATCAATCCTGTCAGAGATGATAGCAAATATTTCCCTATAAGGTATTCCAACCTAATTATTTAACCAAGAGCACAATGTTTGAAGTGTGTAAAATGCATGCAGTAAAAGAAAAACAATTCAAACGTGTAGGTACACATTATCTAATTTCGTAAACGTATTTATTTGGATATACACGTAAAAAGACTAGAACTCAAACACTTAAAACATTTCGGTGTACCTCTGAATGACAGGAATTATTGGGAATTTTAATTTCCTTTAGGCTTTTGTATTTCTGAGGATTTCCACAAAAAGCTATTTGCAGACTTGGTGTACAAAGCTACAGGAAATGCACTCAGAGTCAATGAATGTGAAACACCAATGCTATGTGTCACTGTCACAAACAGTACACATTTATGTAATTATTGTGGTCCAAGACTAAATATGTCTACAAATTTTAAAAAGTATACTAACAACTGTTAGGTTTTTATTAAACATTATCCATCAAGAGAGCTTAAAAATCCTGAAAGGGGGAAGAGAAAAACAATTATCTTGTATTACCTGTAGAATTGGTTGGCAACGGAGAGACAGTCGGCACTATTTAAAAAACAAACAAATTAAGTCAAAACTGTCTAAAATATCACCATTTGTAACACTATTTCCTAACCTGCAATCATCTGTGTGCCACTTTACAATTTTTAATTTTAGTAACACCTGTGAAGGAAGATTGACAGTTGCTCTCACCCAATGTTACACTCCCCTTCTTAGAAATTAGAGCACCAATTTTTAGTGACACTTCCCTCCCCCCAGCAGACATTCCTCAACCTTGCAGCTAGGTAGCTATGTGTAACTTCTAGGAAACATATGTAAAGCAGATATGGGCTTCTCTTTCCCTTTCTCTTTCTGCTAGCAGAATGACCAATTACATGGCTGAAACATGAGAACTTATCTTGGAGAGTAAGGTCAAAGCCATTTTTGAGGAATAACAGTAAAAACCTAGAAGGAGCCTGAGTTTCTAATGGTTGCAGAGCTGCTACTGTAACCCTCCAGATGCACTTGAGCCCAGACTTTCTAAACACAAATTTATTTCTTAAACCACTGTAATTTGATATATCATCAAATAAGTAGTTACTTGTTCAGTTTTTCTTTAATGTCTCTTAAAATGTTTTACTTAACCTTGTTTCTAAGCAATATTATCATGAAATCATAAATCTGATATAGTTATTAGTTTTTTCTACCAGACATTAAAATAACTATTTACATGTTTGCTCATTTACCACCTAAACCATGTTATTGCACTCTACATAGGGTGTAACTGATCTCATACTAATAAAATTCTTAGTTACAAAGTTCAAGTTGGGATGGAGGAGATGGAAAAACTCCTAGCAAAATTAAAGGTAGTCTTTCAAGGTTATTGACATGCGCCAGAAAAACTTTTTACTCAATTTCATTATTACCTATGCACCAAATTAGGAGTTTGACTTTCCTATTAATTTATAATCTTCTTAGAAATATCCAATGTTTCAGCTAAGAATTTTAACTATTTCCTGAGCAAGGAGAAATCAAATTCTTCAAATTAAAGTACAGAATATGGATGAATACAGGGAAGATTCATTTAATCATAGCACAAACAATGCTGGACATTATGACATTCACCAGTACCAAAACCAAGGAAGTGCCAGAATACGACTGTCCAAACCTGACAAAAGCACATAAAGAGAGGGTCTAAAATGCAATGAGTTTCTGGAAGATGAAATAATAATAATAAGATGATGATGATAATAATAAAGGAGTGGGCATCTGTACTCACGGCATTCCACAATATAACCAAATCACTAAACCAAGCTGGGAAACACTGTCCTTTTAGAAATCAATATAAATGCTATCCATGTTGAAATTTCTAACAAGATTAGAACTATGGAAATGCTTCAAACCAAATATTGAAATAAGGCTTCCTGAAGCAATGATCTTCACCTCTCTACGGCCACTTTCTTTAGCAGTCAATGTGAATACTTACCAGAACAGAACTCTGTACTGTTCACCACCTGGCAATCAGTAAATGTTGAATTATGCGAACAGTAGCTTTTACCTGCTATGGAAGAAAAAAACCAAGTTAAACAGCACCACTTATATTATCTTTGACTTTGTTACTCAGCTCTAGAATAGCTTCCAAAAATCGAACTCAGGCCTGACCGATTTGGCTCAGCAGTTAGAGTGGCCGCCAGAGGACCAAAGGGTCTCAGGTTCAATTCCCGGTCAAGGGCATATATCTGGGTGAAGGTTTGCCCCAGCCCAGTCAGGGTCATGTGGGAGGCAACCAAAGTGTCTCTCTCACACAGATGTTTCTCTGTCTCTCCCTTCCACTATCTCTAAAAAAAAATCAGTGGAAAAAGATCCTCGGGTGAGGATTAACAACAAAATAAATAAATAAATTAATATATACATTAATAAAACTCAGGCATAAACACTGTAGAAAGAAGCCCATCCCCAGACCAACAAAATACTGGTATTCTTTCCTCCATTGTTTTAGCAATATTACAGAGGATCTCTCCAAATATTATCCTTTTAAAATCCACATGAACATACTGAACAAATAAACTTAGATCTTAGAATTGTGGTATGACTACTGTACAAGGAAGGCTGCTAGAATCCACAAGAGGGCTGAGTCAGTAGGGAGAAGTGGTCAGGATCTAATAAAGGCTCCGTAGTAAACAGGGGAGGTGCCACGAAGGCAGCAGTGAGTCCTCTGTCCTAGAACATATTCCACAGCAGGGTATTCAATCTCCAAAACTTGTCAACTCTGCCATACGTGAAGGAGAGAAATATACTTTTAAATTCCATTTTATGACCTTAAAAAAAAGGGACTCTTATACGAAGAGTAAACTTAACCCCCAATTAAGCTAGTACCCTAATTTTAAAAGAGGCCTTTAAACTTTGTTATCCAGTTATATAATGTTGAGAACTATTAAATTTTTCAATGAAGCATAAAGAAACCGAACATGTAGCTTTGACTTTTTCTTTACATACAAAAAACTGCTTTACTGATAAGACCAAAAAAAAAAAAAAAGCAAGCACTTTACATTAAGAAAAGGAAAGAATTAACTCTCTTCCCACCTCATTCTTCTTCTCTATCTTAAGTTTCTTAAGGTCTCTCAATACTATAGTTCACCTAGCAGGACACACTGAAGATAAATGCTTCAAGCATTTTTCTGGGGAAAATTTCACAACTTTCTTTCACAGCAAATTTCAGTGTATCCTAGAAAGATGTATAATCTCTCTTTCTTTAAAACTACTGAGACGTAATGTTCAAATCTAAGGAATTAAAGAGAGGGAAGTGAATGGAAGACAAGAAGAGATTTTTAGGGGGAAGTGTCAAGCAATTAGCACTGTAAAGATAAAGCATTTGATCTGCAAAAAGAAAAAAATAGTGTAGACTATCGTAAATGTTCTACATAATTTTCAAATGTTTAAGAGCGCCCTGTAGTATATTTTTAAATGTTGTAACAAAACAGTTTTTCATTCTCAAAATTAAACAATCCCAAAGTTTCCTACCTTCTTTACATTCCATCCAAAAGCAGGTACTATTATCAGCAGCATTGCTAGCATTAACACAGGAAACACAGCTTTTGTGATTTTCACAGGTTTCTGGGTGGGGAGAAATACATGAAATCAATTAATTGGCAACTGATTTTGAATTTGCATTACTTATCTTTTTAAAACAGTAAACATTACATATAGCATCAAACTTACTAATTCAGAGCAATGGTAAAACTTTATAGCCTATCACCAGATGAAGGGGTAACAAACGGGAATGTTATTCAGTCATTAAAAAGGGAAATCCTGGCATACACTACAACATGGACAGTCCCTGAAGACATTATGCTAAGTGAAATTAGCAAGTCACAGAGGGACAAATACTGCATGATTCCACTTACATGAAGTATCTAAAATAGTCAAATTCAGAAGCAGAAAGTAGAATGAATGGTAGTCGCCAAGAGCTGGGTGGAGGGAAAATAGAAAATTGTTGTTCAATGAGTATAAAGTTGCATGCACGATGAAAAGTTCTAGCGACCTCCGACACCACTGTGCTTACAGTTAACACTGTACCTTAAAAATTTGTTAAGAGGGAAGATTCTCACGTGATATTATTAACCACACACACAAAATACTTTATAAACTGGCTTACTAAGAAATTTCAATCATTTTAAATGACATAGGAATCAAGAGTCAACTCAAGAGGGGCCTGTGGGAACTCTTAGTACTTTGTGGCAGCTATCTAAACACCTTTTTATTTTTACATGGTAACTCTTGCACAGACACTCAGGATTTCCTGATGCATTTTAAAGCATCCTCAAAAATTAAAAATACTAGGGGGGTGAGGGTGAGAGACTGCTATAAGGTCAACAATACAGACAGGGAAATCATTTCCTCAAAATCCAAGATTTGATGATGCCCATTCTGAAAAACTCCAGAGATTCATAATTCATAAATGATCCACTCTTTCCAGAATCTTCCATGACTGGAGGATAAGAGACAATACGTTTGGAGGGGCCTACATTCATGTACATGTAATTTAACAAGTTAGCAAGGTTTTTTCCAACAAGTTAAGCCACATGGCTTAGAAACAAGACTTCAAAGAAGGCTAATTATATTTCAATGTCTGGACAAACAAATGGCCTATAGAATTGGACACCATCCATTTCCTAGAAGCTAGATGCCTCCAACAAACATTCTCCTTCGCTTTTGCTTTCCCTGTTCAGGAAAGAGTACCTCAAAAACAAAAACAAAAAAAACCTATTCAGCACAGAGGCATTACATTTCAATACTTCATCATTAGTATTTATCAAAGACTGGGACAGCCCAGCCAGTGTGACTCAGTGGTTGAGCATCCACCTATGCACCAAGAGGTTGGCAGTTGATTCCTGGTTCTGGCACATGCCCAAATTGTGGGCTCAATCCCCAGTAGAGGGTATGCAGGAGGCCTAGGACCAATGTTCCCTCCTTCCCTCTCCCTTCCTCTCTAAAATCAATAAAATAAAATTAAAAAAAAATTTTTTAAAGGACTGGGACATATATGGGGTTGGGGCCACAAAGCAGAAATAAGTTTTTCAGAGGTTTGTACACAGATGAAAAATGCTAGTTGTTTAAAATCTTTTGTGCTGGATGATGAATGGGTAACGTCATGAATGATATTTACAATGAATTAAATTTGCTACCTTTCAGACTGCACAGAAAACACTCTCCCTTTGCATGCATTTAAATTACTCAATGGCAATTACCTTCATATTGCCAAACTTCTCTTTAACAAACAAAAACACACACACACACACAACAAAACTACAATTCTGAAAGGAAACTGCCAATCAGGAGACAAAACATATTCCTGCTATGTCACCTTTAAAATAGTGTGGTTAGAACTTCCAGTATTGTACTGCAATTTCATTTTTTAAAGTTTCTGTTTAATATAATTTTTTTATTTTAGCGAGAGGGTTAGAGAGGGAAACATCCATCAGCTCCCTCCTGTATGCCCCCTCCTGGGGATCTAGCTGCAACCCCCGCATGGGCCCTAACTAGAAATGAATGGAGCCCTTGACCTTTTGGTGCACGGGCAATGCTTAACCAATTGAAACAAAAATTTTTAGCCAGAGCTAAATTTTTAAAAATTTTATCATTACATCTTTCTGACTTTAACAAGAAATATTAAGTTCATTATGTATTTTATTAAGCTTTTATAAGATACAAAAATGAGGGAAGACATCCAATTCCAACTTCACAATCTACTAATCACACGGTCCCGGCAAATTTACTTTCTCTCTACTTCTCGGTTTCACGACCTATCTTCTTCTAGCTTAGCCTAAGAGGCAGATGCGAAGCACTGGGTACATGAGGGTACTTTTCGTCGTTTGCACACAGCATGGAGTGTAAAGTTTTAATTGCTTACTCAAACCTCAGATAGATCCCATAGCTCTCCGCAAAATTAACGTGATTAAATCTCAGGCGACTTATTTCTCAGACGCAAGTCGAGACATCAGCGAAAACTCCTGTCTTCAGTTTCCCTTTCCCTCTTTTGCCAACTTTCGGAGAAGCCTCCGTGCGGAGAGGACCTGGGTGGACAAACCACCACCACCAGGGAAAGGGAGCTCGGTCTCACCGTCAACTTCGGAGGCGCGTCGCCTCGCCCCATCATCAACCCCACTGCCGCTAGCGCGGAAGGAAGCCACGTCCCCTCTTCCAAGCCTACTGCAAGACTGGGGATTACGAGGCACTTTTATAAAGCACCTCGGGCTGGGACACTGGGGTCAGAAACTGCACCAGGGCAACGGCCCCCGGGGCTCGGCCGCCCCTTCCCACCGAGGCGCTTCCCCACCCCGGCCACCCCGCGCCCGGCCCCGACTGGACTTGGACGGGCCGCCATGTTGCGGGAGCGCGGACAGCCCTGGCCCCGCGCGCACCGCGGGCAAGAAGGGCAGCTCGGCCCGGCGGGAGAGCGAGCGCAGGAAGCCGGTTGGACCGGCACCCACCTGGTGCTACAGTGGTGAGCGGTGAGAGGGTCGCCAACGACGTGGTCGCCGTGTGGTTGGTGGTCGCCGTGTGGTTGGTGGGCACTACAGTCACGTTCGGGGCCAGGATGGCGGTCTGAGCCGCGGTGAGCACACAGAGCGCGGCCAGGCAGGCGGCGGCCCAGAGCAGCTGGCGGGAGAGCCCCGACATCGCGACCTCCGCGCTGGCGTTCCGGCGACAGCTGCAACACGCAACGCTCGACGGGTGCCTCTGTCTCCTGCGGCGCCGCCTCCGAAACTCTGCTCCCGCCGCGGGAGCGCGCTGGGGTCACGTGCGGGGCGCCGCGGGGCGGAGGCGGGGCGCGGTCTATACCAACCGAAACCCTATGGGAGGGGGAACAGAGGCATCGAGAAGAAATCGAGGGAGGCTGTCCCTCAAAGAGACTGTACTATACCAAAAACACTGAGAGAGTACAGGAAACTATTTTTTGCCCTAATAGTACCATACAGAACGCAACTGGGCTTTTCTTGTTCCTGCAATAGGAAAGCTCCCCCCCTGACCTGGATGGAACAACCTATATGACGTGGCGCACGGCGTCCTCCGGAGCGACCAGCCAGGCTGTGATTCCGCGGCCCCATGTGACCTCAAGGCCTCGCCTCCCGGACCTGCGTGCCTCCGGGCGGAAGTAGGTTCCGTGCTGTGCGCTTAGAACTTTGGCAAGAATTAAATTTGTGCTGTGCTTCCGCGTTCCAAGGTCTTGCGTGTATACTTAAATAGAATCTGTGCTACTTACCTTGGAAATCGACTTTTCTGGAAGTCACCCCGTGTTGGGACTGCCCAGGGAAATGGAGACCACGTGGTTAAGGGGTCCCTGCTCCGCCGCCCACGTAGTGTGAGCCGCTGAAACACCTAAGGCGGTCTCCTGCCTTCCAGCCAGAGCCACGTACCGTCTTCCTTTCACTCTTTCTCAGCCTGACGTTTCCGAATTTCTTGCTGTTTCAGCCAGCGGTGTCAGCAGCCAGTCAATGCCACCGATATAGTCGGGAAATCGAAGACGATCTGAGTTGGAAATCCATCTGCTGGGTCCCTACACTTTGCAGGTGAGTAAACAGGTTCATAAAAGTGACTTGACCGAAGCACACTGATTGCTTGGCGTCAGGGCTTGATTTCGAAATGCCTGTTAATGTCATGTCACTGCTCGTGTTTTAGTAAGGCTGAGCGCCATCTGATGCCCAATTTCACAGAAGCAGTCACAAGTGCAGCCATGCTTACATCAAATGGTAACAATTGTATTATTAAAGCAAAGTATTTAATGTCGTTTGTTAACAGCTATTTGTATTTATCGTGTAGTCTTAATTGTGCACTTCTGCCCTAATAAAATAACACACGAACAGTCATTGCTTTTGTGACATCTGCTTTGCTATGAAAGCACCAAAAAAGATGACTGCATAAGCGCTGTTAAAACCTTGCAGGCCAAAAGGTGTCCTGAAAGGATTTGTTGTCCGGGAACATACTGGTTGACCTAACAGCAGCAGAGCTTGGAGAATACAAACATGTCCACCGTCTTGAGGTTGATGCGGGGGCTCTTTTAAAGAATGAGTTTGGAGCAGAAAGATAAAAGATCTTTTTAAAGTATTTACATTGGCCCTAGATGGGGAGGGGGCAGGAAAAGGGGAAGTGAGAAAGTTTCCGGATAGGTGAATAGTCCATAAGAAAGGAGTATTTGAAAGTTCATGTGTAAGCAGGATGCCAACCGGAAGTTGATTCAGAGTTTCAACATTCATTCAGGAATGTGATCAGTCTTATGGGTTTTGGCCTTCTGGCTGTTAGCTGATTAATTTCCCATGTCTCTTCCTCCCACCCTCGGGCATTAATTTAGGACTTACCATTTTTCTCTTGCCAGCGCTTTACCTTTTTTGGCCTAAATTCAAAAGCTTTTATAACTCTCTAGATTCTAAATCCTTGGGGTCCTTTTGTAGCCTGATGACTATGGACCAACGTTACACTGACTACAGTAGTTGGAGATTTGCTCAGCTGTAAATAAGAAACTGATGCTTTTGACTAATCCAACCTATGACCAAAAGCATGAGAGTGTAGCCAAGTAAAGTAAATGAAGTCCCATCATCAGCCATCAGGAAACGCCTGCTCCTCTCTCAGGGTACCTCTCACATAGTATTTATTTAGCACGTGACTGACACCCAGACCAAATGAAGGCATTAGTCAACTTTTTTTCTTAAGGTTAAAAATAAAATTTGTTGTTGTTTTTTTTAATTTCTGTTTTCTTGCCATACCCCAGTGGGTTATCTTGTTTATGCCCTAAGATGAACACACCCCATTGTGGAGGCCATTGTTTTACAATTTGTCATCTAGGTGTGCAACTCTAGCCCTCAGATTTGTTAGTTCTTATAAGGGGACATTTCACTCTCTTGTTTTAAGACTAGAAAAGCATTGGCTTATTTTATTTTACATGGCATCTGTTGAGCTAGATCAAGGAAGAGTTCCAAAGTCATTTTCACCATTCCAGAGCAAGGACTGGCGTCTATAATACAGTTTTAACAGCATGTATTAAAGCTCATGTAATATTTAAATGTTTCAACCAAATTAGAGAAGGATTGTAGTAAATCAGAGATTAATAGTGAGCTAAAACTGTATATTCAGATTATTAGTACTAACACCATGATTAGAATTGATAATATAATAGAGATCTCTCATTAGGAGGCACTCCACCTTGACTGTTTAATTCTTTGATAGCTGTTCCAGGGTTTCAGAGGGGAGCATTACACTTTAGAGCAGTTCTCAACTTTGGCAAAACATAGGAACCATGTGGGAAGTTTTGAAAAATACTGATGTCTGGGTACTGATTTAATTATTTTGGAATAATGCCTGGGCATCAGGAGATGTAAAAGCTCCCCAGGTGTTTCTAATCTGCAGTTCAGGTTGAAAAGCTTCTCAAAGTGTGGTTCACAAGTATCATTCATACTACTTACAAATTTCTTAGAAATACAAAATTTCAGGATTGAACTAGCAACCTCTTGGTGTATGAGTCAATGCTCAGTCACTGAGCCACACTGGCCGGGCATGATTTGTCACATTTTCAAAACCCCCTGTCAAATACCAAACTTTGTAATTTGTGTTGTATGTTACTATTGTGTTTGTTACAATATTTTGCATGTTATATAAAATTTGAGACTAACTAGATTTGCCAGTTTTAAGTTGTGATTTCATTTTGAGAAGGATAGTGAATAGTATAGTATAGTCAATATGGCACTAGTTTAAAAAATGAGTTCCTATACTGGAGAGAGTGTAACAAGGTGTAATAGATATCAATTTTAATTTTGAGGATGAATTAATTCAGTCAATGGAAAATTAATATGTTTGTAAACATCATATTATACTGAACATAACAGGGACTTGATAGTTCTTGAAATGATGATGATATTCTTTGTCAGTTGCAGCTTGACTGGTTTTTGTGGGTTGATATTCCAGAAGAGAAACTAATTTTTTTTTAATATGTTTTATTGATTTTTTAGAGAGAGAGAGAAACATCAATGTGAGAAAGATACATCAATCAGCTGCCTCCTGCACGCCCCCTACTGTGGATTAAGCCCTCAACCCTGGCATGTGCCCTGACTGGAAATCGAACTGGGACCTCTCAGTCCATGAGCTGGTGCTCAATCCACTGAGCCACACCTGCTGGGCGAGAAACTAATTTCTATTCGATATCTGCTTTGTGTCAAGTATCATGAGAAGTATCTTCACATATTATCTCAATTAATCCTTAGACCACTATGAAATAGATATACCCCCATTTTACTAATGAAATTGAAGCCCCAAAGCAAATATTAGTACTGTTATTGATTTTATAAATTTACTCAGAGAATCACTAAAATAATTAGAGCCAGACGGAAGCCAACACCTTTTTTTACTTCTCCATTCTTTTTACAAATGAGGAATGTGAAAGGTTAAGTGGTTTGACCACCACATTGCTAGATAGCTGGGACTAAAACAAACACTAATTTAAAATATGTATATATAAAGTGTAAAAACTCAGAGTACGGGATATTGATTACCATACTATTCATTAATTAACAAATAGCTAGCACTGTATGCAGTTGGGACAGTTCTTTAGATAGAATTTTAAATGTTTATTTGCAATCTCCCAAATAAGAAAAATGTCCAGATACCACATTTCTCTTATTAATATGGCTTAGTATAAGATACAGCATATATACTTGGCTGTACCATATCACCCATTAGGGCAAGGTCATATAGCTAACATTTTGTATAAATCATCAGAATGCCTTTACTCTCGTCTGGCCGGTGTTGCTCAGTGGTTGAGTGTTGCACCAAGAGGTCACCAGTTCAATTTCCGGTCAGGGCACATGACCAGGTTGTGGGTCAAATCCCCAGTGTGGGGCATGCAGGAGGCAGCCAATTGATGTTTCTATCTCTCCCTCTCCCTTCCTCTCTCAAATCAATAAAGAAAAAAAAAATTATTTATTTTTATTTATTTATTTTTATCCTCACCGGAGGACATTTTTCTATTTTTGGTTCAGATAGAGTGGGAGGGAGAGAGAGGAAGAGAGAGAGAGAAACATCAACATGAAAGGGACACATCGAGTGGCTGCCTCCCACACGACCCAACCAGGCCGGGGACAAACTGCAACCGAGGTATGTGCCCCTGGTGGGAACCGAACCCAGGTCTCTCTGGACTGCAGGCTGATGCTCCAACCGCGGAGCCAAACTGGCCAGGGCAAAAAACAATTTTTTAATAAATAAATAAAAAAGCCTTTACTCTCATATTTGTAGACTTGAAAAACTCTAGAATTCCTTCTATTTAATCAAAATCTTTCAATTTGGTTAAAGCAAAGTCTGTATATGGAGTTAATTGGGATAAGCTTTTGCGTCCCTTGTAACAGTTTCTCCAAACATGTTTAAACATACAAATCATTCTAATACATAAGTATTACTGTGTGTACCTTTAAGTGAGGGTAACAAGGGCCACTGCATATACATATCAGTAAAGCTTCTAATGGCCTGAAAGTGGAAAGTGAGAGGGATCAAAGAGACCATGAATGTGTCCTTCTTTAGAAAGTTTGCAGTTGACACTAAAGCTAAAATGAAAAATAAAGAGAGCTGGAAATAGTTTCCTACGTCCATTCAGATAATCTAGTTCTTTCACATAAAAACTTAATGTCTTAATATATAGGTTCATTACCAGTGAGAATTATTCTGCTGCTTGTTATTACATAGTTGATGCTTTTAATTTGTTTTAACCAGGATCTCTGCAGAGCATCGTTTGGTTCATCGCATGCTTCACCAGCTGGTGAGAGCCCCTGGGTGACCACAGGAACCCATCCAAAGGCCCAGAGAGAGGATCTGGAGTTTGCATTCCAGCAGCCTTTATTCTCAGCTTGGCTGAAACTCTTAGGAATAGAAGAGGAGATAGTTCCTCCTCAGTAATTCCCAAATCTGGCCGTCAATCAGAGTCCTTGAAGAAGAGCCTCTGAAAATACCAGATCCAGACCAGCGGCCACGGGCAGCAGGCACCATGTTCGGCTCCAGCCGCGGTGGCGTGCGCGGGGGACAGGACCAGTTCAGCTGGGAGGATGTGAAGACCGACAAGCAGAGGGAGAACTACTTGGGCAACTCGCTGATGGCCCCGGTGGGCCGCTGGCAGAAGGGCCGCGACCTCACCTGGTACGCCAAGGGCCGCGCGGAGGGCGCGGGTGTGAGCCGGGAGCAGGAGCTGGCGGCCGTGAGGCAGGCGGAGCAGGAGGCGCTCATGGCGGCGCTAGGCTACAAGAACGTGAGGAAGCAGCCCACCGGCCTGAGCAAGGAGGACTTTGTGGAGATCTGCAAGCGCGAAGGAAGTGACCCCGAGGAGAAGGGGGTGGACCGGCTCCTGGGCCTGGGGAGCTCCAGTGGCTCCGCAGGCCGAGTGGCCTTGTCCCGAGAAGACAAGGAGGCCGCCAAGCTGGGGCTCCCGGTGTTCACGCACCACGGCGTGGAGAGCAGTCGGCCAGGGGCCTCCCCAGCCAGGAAGAAGCCCAGGCCTGAGGAGAAGGCGGAGCAGGGCCCCCCGAGTCACAAGAAGAGCAGGAAAGAGAAGAAGAAAAAGAAGAAGCACAAGAAGGAGAAGAAGAGAGAAAAGGAGCACAGAACCGAGGCAGCTTCCTCACCGTCCCAGGCTCCTGCCAGGGCCCACCACCGCAGGCACGGCTCCGACTCCTCGCCCAAGAGGAGGCGAAGGCACGACAGTGACTGAGGCCCAGCCCGCCAGGCCCCTGCCAGGCCCAGAGAACTGGAGGCCAGGCTTATGGAGGCCCTGCCAGGCCTGTAAGCAGACAAGGTGTCCAGGGGAGGCCTTACCCCCAAATGGCCCCAGGCTCACCAGGGGAGGACACACTGTCCAGGAGGTTCACCTGCTTCAGGCTCGAAGTACTGCTGCTTCTATTTTTCTTTGTGTTTACTCACCCTTAGTACTTAAATAAACTTATTTTAAGATGGAAAAGCCCTGGCCAGTTTGGCTCAATGGTTAAAGAGCAAGCCTGTGGACCAGTTAGTCCCGAGTTTGATCCTGGTTAAGGGCACAGACCTTGGGTGTGGTTCGTCCCTGGCCCTGGTTGGGGTTGTGTGGGAGGCAACCAGTCCATGTGTCCCTCTGACATTGATTTTTCTCTCTCCCTCCCACTCTATCTGAAGATAAATGGGAAAATATCCTGGGGTGAGAATTTTTTTAAAAAGATGGATAAAAAAATACAAGTTCCTAGGCAACACCCTGAAGGTTATTCACTTGTAATTTATTGTGCATACATTTATTGAACACTTACAGTATAACAGGTCCTATTCTAGGTCCTGTATACGAATTGTTGATTCCTTAAAGCCCCACAACTCTGTGGTAGGTACTACTGTTTTGAGATGAGATAGAGGCCAGTGAAGTTCCTGCCTGAGCTTTTGCAGCTAGGGAATGGCAGGGCTGGGATTCAAACCCAGGCTGTCTGCCTCTAAGACACACATCCTTAACACTGCTGCCTCTTGGTCAATTGAGAATGTGACACATGCAGTGTACTTGCTCCTCATCTACTTCAGATCTTAGTATAAAACCCTATGTTGCCTGGCCCATGTGGCTCAGTGGTTGAGTGTTGACACATGCACTGAGAGGTCACTGGTTTGATTCTGGTCAGGGCACATGCTCCAGTTGCTGGCTTAATCCCCAGTAGAGGGCATGCAGGAGACAGCCAGTCAATGTTTCTCACTCATTGATGTTTCTCTCTTTCCCTTTCTTTTTCTCTAAAAATCAAATAAAAACATTTTAAAAAACCATACTATACTGCAATGAGGTTTTTTGTGGGTTGTTTTTTTTTTTACGTATATGCCAGTTTTCAGTAGTTAGGGATGGTGGGGGGCAGGGGAGTAGGTGTAACAATAAAGGGGTAGCCCCAGGGAGGTCTCTGGCACTGGAAAAGTTCCGTGTCTTGATTGTGGTATCAGTCACATGAATCTGCACATGATAAAATGACAGTATATATTGTACCAATGTCAACTGCCTATTTTGGCACTGTACTATAGATGTATAAAATACGCACATTAGGGAAACAGTGATCAGTACATAGGACTGCTCTGTACTGTTTTTTGCAACTTCCTGTAAATATATAATTTAGGGAGGAAAAAAACACATGCCTACATTTGGCAAGCCCTAAGTCAATTAGAAGCCTGTCTCTGACATTGGCTCAAAAATAGATCAGGTTTGAAGACAAACCTGAGGGTAAGAAAAGCACAATGGCTCTGGGCAGAGCAAGAGCACAGTGGCAGAAGTGCTGAGCAGGGTCACCACTAACAGTCGAGCATGTCACTGGCTAAAAAGAGGGCTGAAACCATTACTTATGTCTTGCAGTGATTTTCAAATGACTAGTGCCCAGCAGGCTAAACAAGAACCTCTGGGGAGAGAGCTAAATACATGCACAGAATCCCTGTCTCACATTTTAGAGATTCTTTAGGTCAAGGACAGGGCCCAGAAGTCTTGAAAAAGTTTGCAGGTGCATGTATTTGAAAATCTCAGATTAAGAAGCTGCTGATAAAGCTGGATCCCCAATAACATCTTAGCCAACCACCACGGAGAATGCACCCCAAGCCCTTGGTTGGTATGGCTCAGCATACTATTCGTATCTTCTAAAAACATCCAAAGATAGCCTTTTCTGAATGCTATGTATATGAAATATCACAATTATTTTTTTCTATTACCTCTCTTACTTGGTTATTTACCAAGTTTCTCATGGCAGATAATATAGTTACAAACATTATTACAAATACTTTAGGATTTCCCCTTGTTGGTGTGGCTCAACTGGTTAAGTATTATGTGCCAAAAGGTCACCAGTTCAATTTTCCTTTCCGTCAGAGCACATGCCCAGGTTTTGGGCTCAATCCCCAGAGCAAGGGAGCATGCAGGAGAAAGCCTGTCCATGGTTCTTTCTCATCAATGTCTAAGGTCTCTCCTTTCCCTTCCTCTCTTTCTCTAAAATCAAAAACAAACAATTTTAGGATTCAAAGGCTGTTCATTAGGCACTGCCGTAAATTAAGAATGGTTTTGGCTACAAGTAATAAAATAGCAACAGTAACAAATGGGTCTATTTTTCTCACATGGAAGCCCAGAGATGGTCGTTTCGGGTATTGGTTCCACACTCGAGTTGGGGCTGACATCTCCGCAGTTCTCTTGGCCTTTCTTTCACGGCCTCTCGGCGTTCCAGACTGGATGAAGGGGAAGGGTCAGGACCACTGGCATTTTACTCCTGTCTCACTGGCCAGAATGGTGTCCCATGGCCACACCTGGCAGTAAAGAAGGCTGGGAAATGGAGTTTTGTGCTTTTACAGTCTCTGGTAGAGGTAAGAAAGGGAAATGGGGAGATACTGGGTTTGGATGAGGCAACCTACAGCATCTGCCACAGCTTTCAAATGAACTTTTATCAAGCATGGTTTAATTAAATCTAGAAACAGCTGATCCAGATACATAATAAACTTGGGAAATACTGTTATGAAAATCAAGCATAAAAATTTCCACTGTCAATAATTGTACACTGTTGTATTGGTCTTTCATTCTCTGTTGGAACCAATTCTAGTTGTTGAAGAACTTCTGTTCCTTCAATCAGTTGCCTAGTATAGGGGAGAAAGTGGAAATTTCAGTCAGCCATACATTTTCACATTTAGCTTACATTCCTAAATTGAGTCCTATCTAGCTTACCTAAGGATATTTCTTATAAATTAAATTAGTATCAGTCATAAATATCTTAAATAGCTCTAAATGTGTCCAGGTTGCCCCACATCTATCTGGGACCTTTCCAATCTGTTGTTCTCACTACCATCAGGGTGAAGTTTTAAAAAGGCAAATCTGATCTCACCTCCTGCTTAAAGCACTTCAATCATTTCCCATTATCCTTATGATAAAACCAAAAATCCCTTCCATGGCTAGCGTCCCCACACCTCTCCAAGGCTCTCTTGCATCATGCTCCACTTTCCCTCAACGCTCCAGCCAGACTGTCTGTTAATACCTCAGTAGCACCCTTCCTACCACTGCTGTCTCCTTTGCTCTTTCTTGCCCCCACCCCCAACCCCTCTGCATGGTCACTTCCTGGCCTTCCTTCAGATCTCAGCTCAGTCATCATTTCCTTGTGGCAGTTTCCCAGGACACTTTACAGGAATTATTTGACATTTATTTGTATGCTTCTTTGATTCATTTCTGATTATCTCATGAGGGCAGAGATCACGCCTTTGCTTACTTAGTGCTCAATGCCTAGCACAATACCTGGCACACAGTAGGCACCTAATCAACATCCAATGAATACATGAATAAAAGACAGCTTAAAGCCATGCTAACTTGGGTCTCTGTAAACATTCATGGGCCAAGATCTAGAACTGAATGGAGCTAATATGATGGTTTTCTCAAAAGAGAGACAGCCCTAAATATAGAACCAGTGCCCTCTACCAATGCTTGGGTTGAGGAGTGGCTGAAGGGAAGGTGCAATTTCCATTTCATGAACCTTTATAGGGTCATGGTCAGTGCTGACACTGATCATGCTCTAGTCATCTTTGCCTCTGGGCTCGATGTTTGCCATCCCAATCAGAAACCATGACAGAGCAGGACACAAGGGTACAGGCTGAGGTTGAAGAGTAGGGAAAAAGAGACAGATTCATCTCTGTCCAAAGAGGATGTGAAGCCTATTTTCCAAACTGGTTTCACAAATACTGAAGGAGCACCTACTGTGCACCTCTCCACTATGATAGGCGTTAGCGCACAAGATGAGTGAGACCCAGTCCCTACTCCATGTTGTTCACAGTGTGCCAAAGAGGACCAACAACCAGTTTCATTTTGGTAATCAGGGAGGTTTCTGACCTAAGTCTTGAATAGAATTTTGGCAGACTGAAGGGAGGCAGAATGAACAAATAAGCAAAGACCCAGAGGTTGTTCTGGAAGTGATGGTATTCTGGTCTGGCTGCAGCTGTCTATCGACAGCTTCCAAATTTACATCTTCAGCCCTGGCCCAGCTTGAATACCTACTCCTGGTATTCAGGAGATGCCACCTGCCTACTGTATCTTAATCCCAATCATAACTGAATTCATGATCTCTCCTATATCCTTCTCCTTGTATTCTCCATCTTGGTGAATGACATCAACCAGTCAACAAGTTCCAAAATCCTAGAAGTTCCTCTACCAAGGGTAGGGAACGTCTGGCCCGTGGGCCTTATAAGGCCTGCGAAATCAATACCAGCTAACATGACACACCCCACCAAATATGCCTGACCAAATATAGCAGGCTAGTTTTTAAGTTGGTAAGTTTGTATGGCCCGTGAATGATGTTATAAATATCCAAACAACCATTGGCAGAAAAAAGGTTCCCCACCCCTGCATCTAGACCTTCACTGCCCAGCATGGGCACGTGTAGCTATTTAAATTTAATTAAAATTAAATAAAATTTAGTTCCTCAGTTGCATTAGCCACATTTCAAGTGCTCAATGAACACATGTAACATTTGTGGCTAAAAATGACATGGGCATGAAATCTCTCCTTGGGATAAAGAGTTAATAATTATCCCTATGGAGTGGCTGCAATAATCTAACACTTATTCGGAAAAATTCTAACACTTCACATCATTTCAGGGAGGACAAAGTAAGCTTCAACGTATATTCACTTCAATAATCAAGTAGAGACATGAAACATTGGTGTGATGAAAAGTATATTCATCATCCATTTTAGGTCCACAGGCCTATAAACTTCTAATAATATTCTAATAATAATTACCTGAGATATTTCCATATTTTAAGTTGTTCAGTAAAAAAAAAGGTTACTCTCTTCAGTGTTCATGGGCAATTACTTAAATGGTTTCACCTCACTTCTGCATCTAAATATATCTACATTATTAAGCACTACTGTATTATTCATAGTAATTAAGAATTGATAATATCCTTGAGGCTGAACATAAATGGATGGATGGATGGATAGATGAATGGATAGATGGATGGATGGATAAACACAACATTATAATGGTTGTGCCTCCCAAATGGTTTTTATGTTTATTTGTTTGAAAATATGTTTTTATTGAGTTTTTAGAAAGAGGGGAAGGGAAAAAGAGATAGAAACATTGATGTGAGAGAGATACATTGATAGGCTGCCTCCTGCATGCCCCTCACTGGGGATCAAACCCACAACTCAGGCATGTACCCTGGCTGGGAATCGAACCAGGACCTCTCAGTTCATGGGATGATGCTCAATCCACTGAGCCACACCGGCTGGGTGGTTTCTATGGTTTTTATTGATAGCAAGTTTCTGACAAAATATTTATTTCTAAATATGTTTGTTTGTATTTGTATTGATTTTGTTTTTAAATTCTATCTGTTACCCAGACTTCATACAATACTTAATTCAAATTTTTTGAACCACATTTAAAAATATATAAATATAATATACACAGACTTATAATACACATACCCAAAAGCCACATATTTTTTATCTAGATAAGGAGTTGATTGTAGTGTGATGTAGAACTGTGACCCGTTGCTGTGACGGCCTTTGTTGACCATTCCAAGAACTCCCCTTTTATTATGAGGAATTAAAAAGCTTTCATCTAGAAAAGACAATAAACATTATTGAAATATATCTATTATCTCAATGGACTGTAACATGTAAAACACAAGCAGAACCTTTGGTAACA